TAATTGGAGGTGACCCATGATATATACTGAATCTAGCTCACTCACTTACTTATAGACTTGCTCTGCTTCACGGTCACGTGATCAGCCAGTGTCGAGTACAAACTAACATTGTACACTGGGTAATACTGTCATAAATTATAAAATATCTGGACAATGCAGTTTGAGCTTGCAGACAGACATGTTTTTTGCTCATAGTCATGACAATATGTTTTCCTCTTGGAAATAATAAGACTATATTATAAAGTTATACGTATAGAATTATAATCGGCTTTTTGATACTGTACAGTGCATGCTCGTCTTTGAGTTTGTAGGCAACGTGTTATTGTAGGATATTGGTTGGCCGTGACACATTAAAACCTCTGTCTATACCAAAACGTGGATCAACATCATTTTGTTTTCTTATCAAATGACCATTATCTCACAGAAACATATTATAAAGTTCAAACAATTAATAATACATTTGATCACAATGGGCCTTGTGGCTAAAAAGAAGAAGCCGAGCGAGAGACAATGCTGTGAACTCACTTTAACCTTACATACCGTATACGCCGTAATAAGCAATCCGTCAGTTTAGAAACTTGACAAAGGAGGGCAGTTATTAAAACCATGAACAAAAAGTAAACTTTACCATACAGGTCGAGCGGTAGTGCATTAACTTAGTTAAAACATCGATGAATAAAAAAACGTTTTCGATAATAGTTTTATATGCTGCTTCTATTTCTGTAAAAGCATATGTCGCCATGGAGGGTCGCTCATTATAACAGAACACTTAAAACGGCGAATACGGTACATCTCAAGTTATTGGACTGCCTCATAAACCTTGTGTTTCTTTAAGAGAATATTGTGCCTACATACTTGCTACAGACAGGCTGTGAGAATGACTTCATGCTCATAAAGTTCTGTAGTTCCTAGTTATACCATAGTGTTGTTGATTGACCTGTTTTTAAAGTTCCTTCTGCTATTTCTTGTAGCCACTGTAAGTGGCCTCCTTGCATGTTATTCATATGTAACAGTCAGTGATGAAAGTGTATTTGAGTTCTGTATTCAAGTCAAATGAGGTCTAACGTCGCGTACAATATTATTGCACTTATATAGCGACGTGCAATGTGTGTGTGTGTGTGTGTGTGTGTGTGTTTCTGTGTGTGTGTGTGAGTGAGTGAGTGAGTATGGTTTTACGCCGCTTTTAGCAATATTCCAGCAATATCACGGCGGGGGACACCAGAAATGGGCTTCACACATTGTACCCATGTCGGGAATCGAACCCGGGTCTTCGGCGTGACGAGCGAACGCTTTAACCACTAGGCTACCCGACCGCCCCTTGTGTGTGTGTGTGTGTCTGTGTGTGTGTGTGTGTCTGTGTGTGTGTGTGTGTGTGTGTGTGTGTGTGTGTGTGTGTGTGTGTGTGTGTGTGTGTGTGTGTGTGTGTGTGTGTGTGTGTGTGTGTGTGTGTGTGTGTGTGTGTGTGTGGCTGCGTGTGCTAGTCCGGACTAATGCCAGCCCACTGAGATACCATATCGCAGTTTAACATGATTACTCTACTCAGACACAGTATACTGACTCCGAGCCGACCAGTCCTTGTTTTAGCCCCTTAATGCCGAACGCCAGGCAGGGTAATAGCAAGTACCGTTTATTGACGTCTTTTGGAACGACGCGACCGAGGATCGAACCCGAGGCCTCCCTCTGTCCGGGCGGACGGTCCACCACTAGGCCACGGAGGCGGTCCATTTTACATGGGACACAGTAGACACAAGGTTGGACTTTTCATTCAACTTATTATTGGGCCCTGCTGGAACTAGAGTTTTCATTGAAGGGCTCGGTATAACCCAAGTTTTTGTTTAGACCCCTTTATTGCTTGCTACAGAGTTACACCCAAAATTTGATATAAAGTTCACGTTGACTGTTGACAGTGTCCCAATCTTCAGACCTCGGGTACTAACCATGTTGTCAAACATTTTACCCCGGTATTACCGTAGCGTGGTACCAGCCAAAACAGGCAACTGAAATAGGGTTACAATCAGCGTTAAACCACCTCACTTAAAAGCTTTAGTGGTGTAAACGTTTAATAAGCTGTGGTTCCCATTCCAGAAGACGATAACGCTACGACTAGCGAAGGTCATCTTAAGGTGAGGGAGATACGCCCGTCTTAGCCCTTTGCGGAAAGCTGAATATGATATCACCAATAACATGCAAACCGTTAGAGCTCCATCCTATTCTAGAATCGTGCATACCATTTGAAGCCGTGTGTCATCTTAAGACAAACGATAAGCAACACTAGACCTATGACAAGTTATGCATTAATAAACTATGATACTATGGGTGTCACATGTGACCAAGTCGCCCAAGGCGCCGCAAGTCACTATGCAGAGTTGCGTCCCTTACACGTGCCAGAAACCTACAATCGTGGGTTCGAACCCCGATTATTCTTGATTATGTTTCAGGGTTTGTCAGCACCATACCCGTGTTCGTGGATTTCACCAAATTGCAAAACATGCATCACTTCAGGCTTTCCTCCCACATTAAGGTGACAGTCCGTGATATTATTGAAATACTGTTGCACTCACTCACTCACTCACTCACTCACTCACTCACTCACTCACTCACTCACAAGGAGTTGATGAGCGAGTTAATGATGACTCGCGTCAGTCACCAAGTATCCAAGCTGTATCTCCCATCTGATATCTAAGTGTGGCGTAGTATGGAACGTAAATATTCCTTGTTTATTATATCATCAATATTGATATTTGCACCCTGATTTTGCTAGTATGTATGCTTACATTCCTTTAATTCTTTTTAATTCGATCAAACATTCGTGATTTAATGGTTCGTTCTTTTGTCATGAAACGTGTAAACATATTGTAAATTCGAAAAAAGTCTTAAAAAGCAGAACCTCTGCGAGTGCTAAAAGGTTTACAAAAATGTATCATCAAACTTACTGTGATTAGCATTCAACGTCAACATTTTAGCCCCTGTTTAAAAAAAAACTATTTCTTCTTCAAGATATTGATCAAACTGGCCCTTTTTGATGTGGTTCTTTCAATGTCTGTGAAGTACAGCAAATGCTATTTATAATCGTGCAATAGTCAAGTGTCACGTAAGCAGGTGTAATATATTTATTTCGAACATAAAGTGAAGTGAAACTATAGTGTTTGCGCAACCGTCTGTGTCAGATGGACTCGAAAGTTTGACAAGGAATTCACGAATTTGATTGCCAGAGCGCTATTGGGTTTATGAAGATCATTGTGGAAATCTTGTTTTACAAATTCAGGTTATCAGTTGATTAAGTGCAGTTGTGGAAACTGTATGACTATGAGAACGATATAGGGAAATCCTCTGAACAAGCAGACCGAATAATAGAGAGATGACGGGTACACTGAAGCGGGTAAACATTCACGGAGGATTCTTGAAGGGTTTTGAACAATGGCCGGTGACATTCCGCGATGTACATTCGCCGTGGGCTATAGATGGCCCGTGTCATGAATGAATGTATCAAAGCCGGTGACATTCCGCGATGTACATTCGCCGCGGGCTATATGTGGCCCGTGTCATGAATGAATGTATCAAAGCCGGTGACATTCCGCGATGTACATTCGCCGTGGGCTATAGATGGCCCGTGTCATGAATGAATGTATCAAAGCCGGTGACATTCCGCGATGTACATTCGCCGTGGGCTATAGATGGCCCGTGTCATGAATGAATGTATCAAAGCCGGTGACATTCAGCGATGTACATTCGCCGTGGGCTATAGATGGCCCGTGTCATGAATGAATGTATCAAAGCCGGTGACATTCCGCGATGTACATTCGCCGTGGGCTATAGATGGCCCGTGTCATGAATGAATGTATCAAAGCCGGTGACATTCCGCGATGTACATTCGCCGTGGGCTATAGATGGCCCGTGTCATGAATGAATGTATCAAAGCCGGTGACATTCCGCGATGTACATTCGCCGTGGGCTATAGATGGCCCGTGTCATGAATGAATGTATCAAAGCCGGTGACATTCCGCGATGTACATTCGTCGTGGGCTATAGATGGCCCGTGTCATGAATGAATGTATCAAAGCCGGTGACATTCCGCGATGTACATTCGTCGTGGGCTATAGATGGCCCGTGTCATGAATGAATGTATCAAAGCCGGTGACATTCCACGTTGTACACACGTTGTAGCTCATAGATCACCAGTGTCATGACTGAAACGGTTGATTGTGTTAACCCATGTAGTAATGTAGTACGGACACAGGGCCAACTGGGGACTGGTAAAGCTATAGGGAGGTTAATATCTTAAGCTAACACTTAAGTACATTGTTGCGTATGGTCGACGCGGGGTGTGTTCACTGTCGTGAATGAGCGAATATTCACCCTCACAGAATGAGACGACGTGGGACTACATACCGTACGTAATGCATTTATGTGCAGTTGATCGTTAACTGTTTCTTTCGAGTACAACAGATATAGTTATTTTCCAACCCTGAAGAAAGTTTGAAAAGAAGGAATCTAGATCATACTTTACGTAGGGTAAGTAGTACCAACTTATACCATATAGTGATGAATAACATCATAAAGATATAATCAGATTCATTTTCCTTTTATTCGTGAAACATAGTAACGTTTTTGTGTTTGTTTTTTTGTTTTTGTTTTTTTGGGGGGGGGGTTTACGACTTTTATGTCATTGTCCTAAATTTGTAGTCGCAGTCGTTGTCGTCGATGGTGTCCCAGAACTGCAACTGGAGGTAGGGGTTGCGAATGACTCGCGTACACAAAGTAATGAGGTTTAAACAGCGTGCATGGATGAAACCTTACGTCGAAATCAACATAGTCAAGCGAGAGACGACGGCAACGGACAATGCGTCACGTGACCACTATAAGCTTCTTAATGATGCCTGTTACGGAAAAAAGATAGAAAACTGTCGAAAATATAGGGGTGTAAAGCTGATGACGGACGTGGAAAGGTTGTTGAAATTCACATCAAAATGTAATTTCAAACGTTTAAACTTTTTTTTCAGAACATTTGACTGCTGTTGAATTGGAGCGTCCGACTGTCCAGCTTAACAAACCTATTGCAGTGGGATTTTGTACCTTAGTACACGCCAAAAGACGAATCTATTCGTTTTATTACAACGAGTGAGTCAAGCAATACGACGATTGCGTTAAGTTGTTGATGACGGACACGGACTCCGTCTTGATTTCGATCAGCGCCCCTCCCGAGAGACCTCTGCTCGATCCTTACCTGTTCATGCAACAAAACATTCATTTGTTCGATACCTCGAATTACCCGAGGTGCCATCCCCTGTATAGCAAAGACAGACACAGGGTGGCTGGGTTAATGGAAGATGAGGCCGGTGGGAAGGTCATCCGAGAATTTGTAGGTCTAAACGCCAAAACTATAGTTATTTAGTGGATGGTGATAGTGGAGAGGTTTCAAACGAGAACAGAGAAAAAAGGTGTTCAACGTAGCTGGGTGACAAAACATCTCCGTCACAAAATGTTTATAGGGTGTCTTTTCGATCGAAAGCAATTCAGTTTAAGACAGATACGTTCTTTTCACAATACAATGTACAGTGTGAAGGTCAACAACATGGCCCTCTCCCAGCTTGACAACAACAGATTGTTATAACCTTGTGGGGTGCAGAGTTTACCCTATAGCCACAAACAAACTGATTATAACGTCCCCCAGTAACCCATCTGACCCGTGAAGATCCGGGGTAGAATAGGTCTTCAGCAACCCATGCTTGTCGTAAAAGGCGACTATGGTTATCGTAAAAGGCGACCAACGGGATCAGGTGGTCAGGCTCGCTGACTTGGTTGATGCATGTCATCGATTCCAAGTGCGTGGATCGATGCTCATGATATTAATCACCGGATTGTAACCCATCTTGTCAAAGTTATACCGTTTCTCATACTCGCATTCACTTTGAACTCCAACATACTGGCAAACGGATTGAGAGTGTGGTAGAAATACAGCAGAGACGACAGTCAATGCGTTTCCAGGTACTGTAAATAATTAAATATGAAAAGTAAAAACAATAAAAATAAAATTGAAAAATCGTTATTTAAGATATGAATCATGGATTGATATACAAATTTGTTTAATTTTCATTATTTTTCAGTGAACTATGAACCGTGTTTCCAGATATCACTTTAGTGTGTTAGACAGAGGACGGAGAACAGTGTACTAGGGGAAGAGTGAGTGAGTGAGTGAGTTTGGTTTTACGCCGCTTTTAGCAATATTCCAGCAATATCACGGCGGGGGACACCAGAAATGGGATTCACACATTGTACCCATGTCGGGAATCGAACCCGGGTCTTCAGCGTGACGAGCGAACGCTTTAACCACTAGGCTCCCCGACCGCCCACTAGGGGAAGAACCTGTATAACAAACAAGTGAAAGCTTTCACAGAAGCTGTCTCTCGTGAAACCTCCCCGGTTCCCAGATGAGGGAGCTCCTTATCAAATACAGATACACAGAGTAAACTATGTAATGCCACTTCCTGGCGAGCATTCCCTGGTCGAGTAGCGACAGAAGTTCGAATCCATCTTGGATTCCTTCTATCTAAAAGCATAAATGAATGGTATCCGGGAAGAAATCGGGGAAGCACCAAAGTCTCCAGGGTGTGAAACGGGTCACCCCTTACAAAAACACCTCAAAGTGAAGCGAGCGAGGAAGCATGGTATTTCGACGACGTGATCACGCCGACATCTTAAAAAAGATGCAAATGACTTTATGGGGTCCGAGGGGCTCGTATTTCATGAGATCTATAGACTCAAATACGAAACTCTAGAATGGCTGCAGCTCAATTTCTTGACAAGGGAGAAGTGAGTGTGAGTGAGTATGGTTTTACGCCGCTTTTAGCACTATTCCAGCAATATCACGGCGGGGGACACCAGAAATGGGATTCACACATTGTGCCCATGTCGGGAATCGAACCCGGGTCTTCGGCGTGACGAGCGAACGCTTTAACCACTAGGCTACCCGACCGCCCCTACAAGGGAGAAGAAAAATTCCCATACACGTATACTGAAAATAATAATGGACTAAACTTGAAGTGGAATGTAGACTCGTGTATGTAAATAGAAACAAGCCAACTTTTATTTATGTTAGGCTGACAAAGTATTATAACTGTATATGACTAAAAATAACCCTGTTTTATGTGGATAGTACAAATATTGTACAGTGTGACCAGTCATAACTGCTATAATCTACAATGTCTCTATTGTATTCACATACAGGGGCGGTCGGGTAGCCTAGTGGTTAAAGCGTTCGCTCGTCACGCCGAAGACCCGGGTTCGATTCCCGACAAGGGTACAATGTGTGAAGCCCGTTTGTGGTGTCCCCCGCCGTGATATTGCTGGAATATTTGCTAAAAGCGGCGTAAAACCTCACTCACTCACTGTATTCACATACTTGGTTGAGATAAAAAGATGCACATAATACCATTAGCATAGTTTGTTACCATATACATAATATTACTATTATTTTATATGAGATATTGAGAAAATCATGTTTTGAATGAAGTGCTAATAAATTCAAATGATGTTTCCCCCGTGTCCGTTGTCCTTTATCTACTCTGAAATGTGTTTGTGATGCAGTGACACCTGTTAGTATATTGATGACTTGAAATAACCCTAGTACAAGGGTAAACCCGTTTATCCAGCCCCCTCGATTTAACCGCACCAAAACGTATGGAAAAACGAGATTTTTCCGCCGAGTTGGTGATCATTCGGAATGCGTTCCCTCAATGATGAAATACTCGAACACAGCTCCGTACAGGGTAAATGAGCATTATTGAATACACTGTAAGGTGATGCGTGGAGTTTGCATATTATGAATTGTCCGATTGTCTATGATTGTCACGTGGTTGATTATGACATAGTCGAAAGCCTTTTGACAACTTTTCTTTGAATATGAGAAAAGCTCAACCCATGGGAGATAACTCTTTCTAGAACCTTGATCCATTTTGTGAAGAACAACCAACTCATGTATGTAACAGACTTTATTGTTAAACACATCAGTGGTTTACATTTTTTACAAAAAAAATATTTATTTATTCCAAATTGACAGACAGTTATCAGTTAGTAAGTTTATAATGGTTTGAGCCTTTTGCCGACACCTGGAACGCCAAACTTGACTTTACTTCGAACTTGCATATGCTTTTGAGTGGGGTTGGACAATGTTCTCTTGAGACCATCCCCACTTGCGGCAAAAACCTGTCATAACCTGCTATGGTGTTCACTTGTAATTTAAATTGTTGGAAACCAGTGTGCACCTCCTCATCTTTGTGAGACGACAAAATGAAATGTCAAATCAGTTCAATGACATTGGAACCATGTATAGTTTGTCCATGTTTGTCACTCGAGTTTGGCATTCCATAACGAAAGTCCTAGGTCGCGTTGCTGTTTCAAGAGCTGCCACAGACCTACTAGTTTCCCAATGGTGGAGGTAGTTTTGATATCTCGCAAAAGTTGTCCGAGTATATCGTCCAATTCATTAACGAAACTCGCCATTCCGTGATTGCAGACGTGTTCATCCTTAGTCGTTGCATTAGATGCCGATGATGATGATGATGATGTCGTTGGTTCATCCTTAGTCTCTTCTGTAAACGATTTATGCGTGATATTGTTGACTGCAAATCCTCCTGACTGACTTTCACTGTCAGCAAAGTAGATGTAGGTTTACTGTGGGGTGGAGGACTGGTGTCCCTCTTCTGGGTCAACCTTTGATACTTTTCTCGTGATAGTAATATCATAGGCTTCATCCTCTGAACTCATTTGATCCGTACCGTCGTCTACCTCTAAATATGTATCGAGGGCGGAAATGCACTGGGGAGAATGTAGTGATGTTACTTTGCGTTTTGCTTGCTATCGAGCGAATGACATGTCTGTAGCGCTGCAGTTTCTTTTTAACACTGTCCTTCAGTGGAATGTTACCTATGAGTATATTATACACCAACGTTATGATAGCTTGAACTGAGGTTTGGTTAAGTGAGATTTTTTCTGTGCATGGGTACGAAATCACTCAACAAGTGAAGAAAATCTAAACATGGTACAATATAATCAGTCGTGGTTTTTAAGGGTCGTATTCAGTCCTCTTGTAGATGTAAGGTATGGGTTCACCAAACTGATCAGGGATATTGATTCGAGCAAGGCTTCTTGTAAGGATTGTATGCACGCTTCCTTATAGTGAAACAGCCTTTGACTTTCTATTACCGTTATAACTTCGGCAGGACGCACTGACATGTAAAGTGCGAGCTGGTGTTGTACAGACTATCTTCCAGAAGTAGACCTTGCTCATCTCGCAGTTCATTAGCAACTGAATAGGTTACTGACACTGCATGGGTTATGTATGACATTAGCTCTTTTAGTCTCGAGGTAAATGGATGGTCCAAAGCTCACCGGGTGAGATACCTGTGTGTAAGACCATACTCTGGTTTATTGTAAGGCGATGCATCAACGTCTAAATAACCACACTTTCCCCCTTCTAATGCATCCCGATAGGATTCGGAAAAATATCATGCATGCAAAACATATACTTAGTGAGATCTTTATATAATCTATACGATAAACGAATGTGCATTCATTAAGATATTCCATCCGTGATATTGCGGGAATATTGCTAAAAGCGGCGTAAAACCATACTCACTCACTCATTAAGATATTCAGCGGTGGAGGGAACAGTCCCTTTGAATGTTATGATTTAACACACACATTTATGTACAGTTTGACAGATTATAAAAATATGAATATCAAAATTCATCACCACTTGCCAAGTTCACTAAAATGTCACCAGTGGGAAATTGTCACAAATGAACACGGATGTTAACTAAGTCTGATCTTCTTTTAACATGGAATGCATGAACTGGTTGAGTGACTGCTTTCCATCAGAATTACACACACAGAAAGAAAGGGCTAAAAACCTGAAGATATCCCGTTTTCATGGTATTAAGTATTCACTACCAATTTCCCGTAAAAATAAAATGTTACCTTTGACATCACTAAGCATCAATACGCAGCAGGACCATTTGGGAATTGTACAAATCACAACCCCTAATGTGAAACCCATAGTTATTGTTAAGATAACAAATCCTATCTGCATTTAGACAACATGACAGTCTATATTTATTTACAATATCCTCCAGTAAATAGTTGGTAATGTCAGAATAACACCCTCTGAAAAGATACCTCTAGTCCCCACTTAATCTCCTCTTATTAACTTTTACCAAAAACAAACAAAAAGTGGGGTGTGGGGAAATGTCCAGTATTGAATATCAAGAGAAGTATTTTTTCGTAACGAGTTACGGTACTTTACTATATACCCTTATGGACCTTCTATTATAAGAAATACATATTTTTTGTAGACCTTTTAATTTCAACGGTTATATGCTACTAACGTTTAAATGTATCTAATTTTACCGTTAAAAAGGGTGTAGAAATAGGTTAATGTGTCAAACGTATTTAAATTTATCTTCACACGCAGCGCTTGTTGCATTAACATTCATATATTATCATCATCAATGCTTAGGTTTTACGTCAACTTCACAGTCCTGTATTTCATCGACGGGGTAGGTCTGGTTGAATAGTAAGTAATAAGCTTAATAGATATAAACCACCATACTTAATTGTTGGGGAAAAGTTTAATGTAATACATTACATAACATTACATTACATTACATTACATTATTGAGTATAGTAAAGATTTATAGCTAGAGAGAGAGAGAGAGAGAGAGAGAGAGAGAGAGAGAGAGAGAGAGAGAGAGAGAGAGAGAGAGAGAGATTCTTTATTTCCTCCAAAAGTTAATCCGAAGATTATACATAATTAATCAAACGTATCCACACAAACTCATATTACCCGTACATATATACAATACAAGACAGTAGCACCAGTGTTATGCCATTCACACAGTACACAAGGTTAGATCAGATGACATAATCAAGGTAAGGCTTTAGTGTAAGTACATAAGCAGAAAATATCAGTATAACAGATTCCCATGTAACTATATCAATACATTGTGAGAAGTGAGTATCAACACCAAGGAAAAAGGACAACATATCTTCTTCATCTTGTAATTCCAACTGGACATAGGTTTCAACATCAAGCAGATCAATAAAAGTTGAAAACAGTTCATTTCTTTCCTGCATTAGAGCTTCACAATGTAATATGATGTGATTATCATAATCAAAGGCATGCTTGTTACACAATAAACAGTCCCTGGAAGTTTTGTTTCGTGATGAAACTCTAACACAAAATTTTAAACTTGACCTCTCTTCTGGGTACATAGATGCTAGTTGCCATAATATATGGTGAGTAAGCTTTGTGTGTATTAGCATGAAGCGTGAAAGACCTGTATTGCCAGAAACTTTTCTGCGCCACATATTTTCTTCATATTCATGAATGGTTTTATTAACCAGTTGCTTTCTGAAGCATTGTTTTCACACAACAGCCGATAATCCCTAAGCTTTCTCGGCTCAACTCGCCTTATTTAAAATAATCCGCGAGAGAAGTTTCAGTTCTACTGACCAACTGCGAGAGTAGGCTCCTTTCCCGGGTATACCTCTGCCTTCTGGCTTCAAACGACCGAAGCATATATTTTGTAATCTAGGCTTACGTACATTTACACATACATCCACACACACACACGCACGCACACACATAATTTACATACATACATGTAATCATACCTACAGCCACACATACCATGCATACGCACAGCAATGTAATTATACGTACATACTGAATAGGAAGCGTGTGTATTGATCTGCTGTTTTAATCACTGACCTATCAAGAGTGTCAGTCGGCATGTATCAAATCTTTATAACCGGTGAGATTGAGATAACTGTCACACCTGACTTATTTGTCTGAATGACACGTCTGAAAACAAGGGGTGAACCTTTACACAGTAATTCGGGGTAACGATTTTCTGTGCTATAAAGGAAATCAAAGTACCGTTGTGCTGCATGTGTATGGAGTACATATATCTTATGATGGTATTTTATTCCTAATATGTACGATGTATGGCATAAGTATGTATACACTCAAAAGAAGACACAAGTTACCGTTAATAATGACAGAGAGATAAATAAACGAAGGACGGGTAAGTATTATCACCTTGGTTAATCATAAGTTGTCATTTTTTAAACAGTTTTTCATAAGATGAAAGAAATGATGGTGCAGAAAAAGACTAGCAATTAACACTATAGCCATGATGCAATCGCGTTACTTAATGCGATTTGAATATTATTATTTACTATCGTACCCCCTTA